GGGGGAGTAAAGTGTTAGTATCTACTGTTGCTGACCTGATGTCTGTTTGGTTGTTTTAGCCAAAATTTGCCAAAGGGGGAGATTGTTAGTTCCATGACTCTATGATTGTCTATGGTTCTATGATTGGCTAAATTTTGGTAAAACATAATTCTGCACTGATGTTAAGCAGGATGTTATAACGTCTCTATCTTCTATGGTGACAGAACTGATGTGGAGTGTTTTAATGTGAATGTCATGCTGAATGTCGTGACATCCATCTACTGTCATGTGTTTTAAACGGGATGTCATTACCAATGTCATGACATCACTATCTGGTGTAGCAGGAGCTGATGACAAAACTGTTGTCATGGATGTCATACTAAATGTCATGACATCGCTGTCTGGTGCAGCATGAGCTAGCAGGAGCTGAACACAGAACTGTTGTCATGGATGTCATACTGAACGTCATGACATCGCTGTCTGGTACAGCAGGAGCTGCTATCACTTGACAGAAGTGGTTTGATTTGATGAGATCCTGTTGGATATATCTCATCAAGTGTGTGTTGGTCAAAGATATCCATAACACGAAAGTGCAGATTTAATTGTGTTCATAAAAAGGATCTCTGAGACTTTTTAGGAAACTATAATATATTTGTTTCTACTGTTATGAAGAAGATTATGCAGAAGTGCTCTACAGGGTAAGTTTAGTAAACTAACACAAAGTGAATTGGATGTCATGACTGAATGTTATGACATTGATCATATAACATCAGGCGTGCAACGTTTGTTTTTCTTTTGTGATACCTAATATATCTCAGGCTAGATTTCAGGAAACCTGTTAGGGTTCCTTAGTTATCTCAGACGAGATTCTAGGCAGTGTTGAGCTTATCATGACCTAATTTGACAACACATTGAACTGTGGAAATTAGTTTTACTTTGATAAAACTAATGTTTGTTACTTTGGACCAGCCCAAGCCCAGTCTGCATTGCTATTTAAGGAGGAGCAGAAGCAAGGGAAATCAAGCAATCACATCAAGAACAACTTGAGTGTAAAATAAAGGTCTAGGGTTGAGAGTCCCTTGTGTGTGTCTTTGTAAGTCACCCTTTGTATCTTTTGATACATTGTGGTAGACATATTTGTGAGTGAAGAGTTTTGCTATTCACGTGTGTATTTGTGAGTGAAGAACTTTGTTTTTCACGTGTGTCTAGGAATCTTAGGATTCCTTGTGTGCCAAGCAATTGTATGTTGTAGAATTGCTTTGCTTATTGTGTATAAACAGGTGTGTTCATTGTGCCACTCAAAGCTTTTAAGCAAGAGTGTGTGTCTCTTGATCAAAGCTATGAAGCAAGATCAAGGTGTATTTGAAGAGTGACCTCATACTGTAACTGTTTATCACTGCGGTGATTGAGGGGGAGTGAGAGGGTATACTCAGGTCTAGTGGTTTCTAGGCAGAAGTGTCATTGGGTAGGTCCTCAGTGAAGAGTGAAAATGGGTTGTTTGACTCTGAATTAATTCTACTAATAGTAAATTTCCTCCCTGGCTTGGTGGCCCCCATATTAGGTGTGGTTGACAATGAACTGGGTGAACAATTACTTGTGTTATTTATCTTTCAGCATTTACAATTCTACATAATTTAATGGTTAGATAAATAGTCTGACAGTATGCAGATGTCACAACAGAGGTCATGACATTGGTCATGACATCGGTACAATCTAAAGAAATTTAAATTGGTCATGATCTGTCCTCTTCCTTGTTTTCAGTAGAGATCAATGTTCTTGGGACATATGAGATCTGCATACCAGAATTTCAATTTTTATCTGTAACTATAATTGGTTGATATCTCTGCTATGATTGAGGGGGAGTGAGTTGGAACTCAGGTCTAGTGTTAGGCTGAAGTTGCATTGGGTAGGTCTTAAGTGAAGAGTGCAAACTGGTTGTTAGGCTCTCAATTAACACTTCTTATAGTGGATTTCCTCCCTGGCTTGGTAGCCCTCAGAGTAGGTGTGATTTGCACCGAACTGGGTCAACAATTCCCTGTGTTATTTACTACTTTCATTTCCAGTTTATTATTAAGTTCTATAGTCTGCTCAGTATTGGATGTCATAATATCCGTTATAACATCAACTATCTGTTACTAGAATTTCAGTATGCTTTGGTATCTCATGGAGGAAAAAGATAATTGACTGTAATAAAGGAAAAGACTCCGGATTCGCACAGAGTATAAAAAGCAAAGACTCATGATTTGCACAAAGTAAGAAAAATCAAATGGGTCATGGTTCTACTTGGAACAGCGTAGATGATAGGCGGGGTTTCTCTCATAACCATGAAAAAGAGTTACGGATTCGCACAGAGTACAAAAGAGAGATGGGATAATGCTTCTCACATAACCATAAAAATGAAGATCCAGATTCGCACATAACAAACAAAAGAACTCCGAATTCGCACAGAGTTTAGAAGAAAGGGTTTCGGATTCGCACAAAACTAAGTTGATAGTAAAACCTAATAACACAACAGGTGGAAGGATATCTTGAAAATTTTCATACAAGAAGGTGATTGAAACTGAATTATCTTGTAGGTGATATGAAACAAATACCTCAGATCGACAAGAGAGATAAACTTTGACAAATATCTATTGAGTAAGTGCCAGTGAAAACTAAACTAAACAGAGAAGAGATGACACAACAACGTGCTTGGCATGAAACAGCCTGAGCGACGCACATGCAAGACAAAAACGAACAAAGAGGATTATCGTGACATACATAAAGGATTTGGTGCAAAGATGACCATCCTATTTTCCTCAACACTCGGAGATGCATCTTAATTACCATGAAAGGATGTTCTGAACATGTTCTTCTGGTATGTCAAACTTTGTCAGAATCTCATTGGAAAATGACGGGACCAAGTCTTCCTTAAGGATCATTTCGTAAGTGTTCCCCAAATGTCTTGTAGTTTTGTGGTCTCTGGGGAAAAGACTAACTTCCCCTTTAGTTGTTTCAATTCGTTAAAGAAATTATGTAACTCAACATGTCATTATACCTTAGTTTCACAATTGTATCACCAAAAATAAGTGACATTTGCAAAAGAAAGATAAATAACACAATGAATAGAGAAGAAAAATGAAAATTTCATTCAAAAATATGGTAGCGCATGAAAACATGGCTTCACATGGGATACTACAAAGGAAACAAACAAATGAAAATGGCAATAGGAAAGGTTCACAACCGGTCTTTGATTTATCCGAAGGAAAGGTTAAAAAAAGAAAAACCTAATTTTGCATTGTAAACACGATGCGGGGAGAGGTCTAGGATACAGGGGTTGGTTAAGTCTAAGAAAGGTATTAGTATCCTAAACTTCTGTAGTACTCCACAGGAACCTCTTGTTTAAATGTGGTATTGCTATATCTATCTGTTAAAGGTATGCTAAAGGGTTGAAAGGTAAACAGAAGTACCTAAGGGGTTAGTCCTAAGTATACTCGCCAAGAAATTGCATCTTGTGCCTACCTATCATGGGTAAGGGATGGAATCAGAGTATTCATAGTTCCCCTCAAAGAGGGATAGGAACTTCTTGACTTTGGTCAAGCTTCCAGGGGGAAGTAAATGTTCATAGGGAAGCGCTTACGTGGAGTGCATCGACTCCTAAACTACGTTGTAGAGTTGAGTTTTAAAAGGGGTGTAAGTATTCCACTGCGGAAACTTACTTGGAGTACGACAACTCCTGATCCTAAGGCTAGGATAAAGGTAAGAATGTCCACGGCGGGACGCTAAGCATGAGTAATGAGATTCAAATCCTACGGCTAGGAAAGTGAAAAGGTTGAGGTATGTCCATGGCGGGACACTAAGCACGAGTACGACGACTCGGATCCTAAGGCTAGGACGGGGTTAAGGGTGAAGGTATTGACATGACAGTCAAGATGGGGTACCTTTCCTTCAGAATAAATAGTTAATAAGTGGAAATGCAAAGTAAATCATATACAATTGATAAGAATAAGATAATGATATACGTGAATATGTACAACAAGCATGATTAGGGATTAAGTTCAAATGGAAAATCGAGAACTAGTTAGATGTGGATTATGGAAATGGTTAATTTAGGAGATAATGGTGAGTTAGTCTAAACTTAAAATTCTAAATTAAAAGGAGGATTAAATTAGCTAAACCTTAAGTTAATTGAACATGTTTTTATTTATTTTTATTAAATGGAAATTAGAAGAAAAAAAAGGTTAGTTAATAAATTCTAACTAAAAAAGGGATAAGGATTCTAAATAAAATCAAAATTTAAATCAAATTTAAATCTAAGTTGTTTAAAAATATTTAAATTGTAAAGGAAAATAAATTACTTAAATTCTAAATAAGATAAAAAATGTTTTTTCATTTTTGTTATAAAATAAAATAAGATTCTTTTTTTTTATAAACTAATTCTATTTTTTTGTTATTTTTGTTATTATTAAAATAAAGGTTAAATTAACTAAAATCTAAATTAATTATATTATATTTTTGTATGTTTTAATTATTTTATTTTTATTTTTATTTTTTATTATTTTTTATTGTGTTTTATTATATTTTATTATTAGTTTTATTATTATTTTGTTTAATAATGAAGTGGGCTGGGCCCAGATTACAAAAAGAAAAACAAAAAAAAGCAGAAAAAAAAGGGGGTGGGCCGGTGGCGGTGAGCCCACCGGACCCACACGACCCGGACTGAATCAACAAAGGAAAGGTTTTGCAACGAAACCCTAAAAACCAAAAGGAAATTCCTACAACGGCGCCTATCCATTTCTTCCTTCTCTCTCAACCTTTCTCTCTTCTCTCAACTTCTTCTCCTACGCTCTTCTCCCATCAATTTCTCTTCTTCTCCTACTTTCTATCTCGCTTCTCAACTCTTCTTCTTCTTCTCAATCCTTCTTTTCTTCTTCTAACGCCCCTTCTTCTTCTTCTCCCTCCTCTCTTTCTTCCACGTGATCTCATTGTTGATTTACTTCGGACTCTCCCAACTTGTTAGAGATAACACTAGCCATCCTATACTAAGCAGCAGTAACTGAAGATTCACGAGCACTCATTAGCTGGTCTGACCTATTACCACCAAGCTTCTGAGGAATATTGTTACTGTCCTCAGCCATAAAATCATCTTCATAGATTTCAGAACTCCTCACTCCACTCAAAGTGTGGCCTGCAGATCTGGTCCAATCTAAACTAGCAGCTTCTTGATTTAACTGCAAAGAAAAAAAAATTAAATCAGCAAGGCAATAAATCAAAATGAATAATAGACTGATAGCCAAACACTTAATAGAGTGCATGCACCTGCTTATCCAGAGCATAAAAGTTTGCATCATGTTCAGAGTATATCATGTGAGCCTGAAATGAAACACGAGTTAGTTTAATAAATTTCAAGTCACAAATAGACAAATGCACCTTATATTATTTCTGTTATTTAAAATGCTTAGGATCAAGGAAAAAAGCACATGATACTTGTGGTGCATGATATAACTTACAAGTTCATGCTGTAGAGTTTTCTTGATGCTTTCGTATTTCCCGAAACCTTTGAGGTCATCAGTTCGAAGTCGCAATGATATTTCCTCTCCATGATTCTGTAAATAAGAATGAAAATATGAGAAAATAACAAGAGAGTAAAACTGGATACTTACAATACCATGCTTCCTCATCTTGAAGATTTCAATACCTTGTTAAAATCAAGAATGCACTTTGGGCTCACACCAACATAACCAATGGGAGCCATCTCAGTCATGATCCCCACACGCCAACGATGCTATAAGATGCAAACCAAACATTTGTCAGGATATGCACCATACTATCATTATTATACAAATATATGCCAAAATGTATTTATGTACCTTGTTCATGACTGCAACAATTCCAGGATATTTAGCACATGCTCAGAGAGCGGGAGCAATAAAACAATTAGCTGATCCATGCAAGAAACAATTCGACACATCTCTACCATTGCAATGTATCTCCTGTAAAAGATGTTTTAATAAATCAGAGTGAATGCTATGAAAAGAGAAGATGTGAGGAATTCAAGGAACATCATAATACAGTTAATAGCTAATATACAAAACAGAAGGTCACTCTGCTCTAAAATTGAAGCCTTTAAATAAAGGAAATGACCATTAATTGTAGAGTGTACTTGCCACAACTAAGATCGTTGAGATGGATGAACTAATAACCAAATCCTATCATCCAATTCAAACTAAAATTCATCTGTTAATTCTCCATGCAGTGGAAACTGAGAACTTCCCAAAATTACAGAGTGTACTTGCTACAGGTTTTTCTTTAGAATGGAGATTCTGAAGACTATATAGTAGATAGATCCCATCATTTGAATCAGACAACGTTATTTAGAATGGAGATGATGTCTTTTGTTGTGACAGACATTACAACAAACACCATCCGTGCATCATTGAAATTCAATTTGAAAGGGAAATAGAGAATAGAGAATAGAGAATACAATTTGAGATAAGTTATTCATCAACACATGTTTGAGATTATCAAGTTCACATCTGCAACTGCTTCCGTATCGGCCACTATAATGATTGTTATATATAATAATGTACCTCGGTAAGACTTCCAGGGAAAAGTCATGTTTCAGTCATGGTATCCATGTCATTGTATCCTTCAAAGAGCCTCTCCTGTTGTTTGTAGTATTCTGCAACCTTGCGTTGCTTTTCTAAAATAAAAAACAACCAAAAATACTTTGAAACTAAACCACATCTTAAACACAAGATTGAATAAAAGTAAAGCATATAGTAAATATAACAAGTTGAATAACAATCTCAAATAACAGTAACACACATTTCAGAGAAGGTAGATCCAAGGATTATCTGAAAACTTGTGATATACTTAATTAGAAAAAATTTAGAGCAGTAACACTTATAAAAACGGTTTGATCAGTTAGCAAACAGACCACTCACAAGCTCATGACAGTAGGAACTTGGCCATCACAATGCCAATCAATCAAGCACTAAATCCTTATATTGTTTTAATGATAGTTTACTAACTTGTCAAACAATTACAAACCAAACATTAGCATGAACAATAAAACTAAACATCCAGTAACTAGGAGTTGATAAACTCATACTTCTAAGACACTAAAGTGAATTCAACCAGTGATAAAGGACCTGTCATGACTGATAGCAGCCCTAGGGTAAGATTCTAAAGACAGTCCTATGCACACATTGAATGTTAGAATAAACCAAATGTGCACCAAGTGAAAGTTCAACAGATAAAGAACCTAACTTTGGAACCAATGCAGTACCAACTTTGACATGTATTAAAGACAACTACTACTTCACAACAGGCTCTAGTTATGAGAAACAACTTAAAAAAAAGAAACGGACCATGAGTTGACAAACTCATAACTTCAAAATACCAACAACAAAGTATTTTGGCAAGATAGTGTTGATCATCAAAATCCAAATATGCTTCAACAGCATTAGGTGAATCATCTCAACAACAACATCATATTAAACAGCAAGCAACCCTCAAAACAGTTTTTTGAAAGAGACGCTGCGAAACAAATGAAGGTGTAGGGTTTGTGACTTTGCACTATTATTTTAAACTACATTTTTCTTAATTTGATAAGAAGGAATATCAATAAATATTTACCTATTTTGATTGTCTAATACAAGGAATGAAACAGCGGAGAGAATCCGATAACCTTAAATTAAAAACAATCAAAAGCACCAAATGTCAAAAACCTTTCTCAGTATTTTAAGAACTTGAACATGAAAAGATAGGGTATCCTTGTCCAATATAGTCCTACCCCATTCCAATAAATTTTTAACCCGAGAGCCTTTAGGTAATCCAATGATCAACCACTGCGCTAGCCAACACGTTGCAGCATTGGATTGGAACGACTACGGCCTCTATTTAGAGTATGTCTACCTCATTGTTCAAGTATCAAATCAATATCCCTGCACAAGGTATAGCATTAGCAGCAAATAGTATAAAATGGAAGGAAAAATATCAACCATCTAAATATATATGGACTCACCATTTCAATTCTTCATCCAAATTGTTGGCAGAGGTACCACCATAGTTGGCGCCAAAAAGTTTTAACGATTCATATGTAGAGGCAAGATGCTGAGTGAAAAATATGTCATGCATGTCATAGTTGAATCCAATTGTGTGATAAGACTGTGAGTAGAATCTGAAACACTTATTTTAAGCCATATTTCAACCCTCACCAAATAGATGAAACTTAAAGATTGGATGATTTTGTTCACTTAGAGCAAATTCTCTTTTGCATAATGAAGTAGCAAGCTAGAGTTTGAAACTTAAAGCCCACATCCAATATTATGATTAAGTACTTTAACTAACAATCCTATGATTAAGTACTTTAACTAACAATCCTCTGATTAAGTACTTTAACTAACAATTCTCTTTTCCATAAATTCTCTTTTGCATAATGATTAAAGCTCTAGGTCTCTAAGGTTTATAATCATGTAGAGCTATATGCTTGTATAAAATAAACACTAGAACCTAAAACATTGCAAATGGAACACATATACAGAAACAAAAAGTAATAACCTTGCAAAGTTGCAGTCCTAAGAATCTTCTTTTCTTTTACACATACTGAAGTAGAAATAACATCAAAAACAAGAAATTTAACAATTGAAATTCCAGAATTTTATCATCACTGCTTGTATATTTTACATGGTAAGAGTCTAAGAGAGAGTAATGGAATCTTGCCTCTAAAACTCAACTAGGAGCAAGCAAGATGAAACCTAAATATCTGGTTACATATATTCACTAGCCTATGGCTATGCTCAACTTTAAAAAACTTATAAGGTCTACAAGCCAATAGAACTCTGCAATTGCTTTAATATTCTCCAAAATTCTTAATGGTGCCAGAAAATCCAAAGAACAACAAGTGCAAGTCAAATAAAAGGCAACATCTCTATGATTCTGAAAATTAGAGCTTGAAACTTTCCTTGCTTTTGTTCTTTAAGGCCTCATTTTCAAGGCTCACTGCCTTCACTGTCAAACTTTCTAGAAGATTCTTCTCTATGATTTTCACTGGTTTCTAACTCAGATTGAGTGATAGAACTTCGTAACATTCATCTGGATGCTTCTTAAGTTTAGTGATGCTCGCTTTTCCTTTTTCTAAGAAGTGTAAGGTTTAATTCTTTCCTCTTCTTAAAATCCTTCAGCTCCTGCAAATTTAAAGCTACACGGTTTACCCTCAAACTCAAACTTAGCAACAAAATAAATACAACTAAAATGATGATACAATACGAGTAACTTCAACATATACAAATTGTTCCAAAGTGGAAAAAAAAACCCTGCCCGTCATCAGTCTCACTCTCACCTAAACAAAGTGAACTTCTATCCTTTTTTTCTTCAAATATGTTACCTTCTCTGCATTGGTTTGTACATGAATGTCTTAGTTTTACCGAGTCCTCAGTAAACTATACACCACTTCACATGTACATTTTCGGGAGTGATAATCAACTCTTCAAACATTGATTGAAACTTGAAAAGTAAAAATTGAATAGATTAGGTTTTGTACAGACATCTCCAGAAAGAATTTGTTACAGTCCATAATGCATAGTTCATACCTCTTCCCCTTGCACTAAATCACTTAAACCTAAATATAGTTATGCTAAAAAAGAAAAAAGAGCTCCACATATTAACACTAAATTGGTAAAGAAAAAAATCAATTTAGAATCACCAACCACTTTTCAAACATGGAACCAACTAAATGGCTAATTGTTCCTAAACAATAAATAATTCAATAACTTAACCATGAATTTCCCTATAATTAATAAGCATAACATCAATATTTTTTTTACCATCACATTTGAATCAATTTTAACAACTGTTAAAAGCTCGTTAAATGGGAAAGAGTAAAGAGTAAAACCTGATGGTGATGAAAAAAGGAAGACCCGGAAGCACTTGCAGCTCTATCTTCTAAACATCCTTCAACAGGTAAAGGCCAAGACTGAAACTCACTACATTGAAAAGAAGCAGAAGAAGAATCAGAGATAGTTTGAGGTTAAATTTGAGCAGAAGAAGAATCAGAGACCAATAAACTCACTCAGAAGAACCGATGATCTTGAAGATGAAAACGAAGAGATGATCTCTCAAGGACCATACAAAATCGATTTTGTTTGATTTTAGGGATTTTTTTCTTCTGAAAATGTATTTGGTTTAATTTTAGGGCTCTCTGAAAGGAATTAAGAGGGAAACATGAAAAATAAAGTGGGAAATAGTTAGCCTCGGCTCATCCGTGTCTATCAGATAAAATAAATATATTCCAAAAAAATTAAAAACGTTAGCCTCGGCTCATCCGTGTCTATCAGATAAAATAAATATATTCGAAAAAAATTAAAAACGTTAGCCTCGGCTCATCCGTGTCTAATATTTAAAAAAAAATAGAAAAAATTTAAAATGGGGTTTTTTGCGTTAAAATAGCCTCGGTATAGTCAAGGCTAGTTAGCCTCGGTGTCGGTGGCCGAGGCTAAGTTCGCAGCTTAAAATAGTTAGCCTCGACTAGACCGTGTCTAATATTTAATGAAAATAATTCAAAAATTAAAAAATATTTAGCCTCGGCCTAGCCGTGTCTAATGAATTAAATAAAAATAATTGTAAAAGAAAAACTTTAAAATGGCTTTATTTGCGTTTGAATAGCCTCGGTTTTGTCAAGACTAGTTAGCCTCGGTGTCGGTGGCCGAGGCTAAATTCGCAGCTAAAATGAAGTTTTCTAGTAGTGTCTTCTCCCCTTCTGTTCTCGCAACTTCTTCTTCTTTCTTCTCAACCTATGAACAAAAAAAAAAAACAGATACTCAAATGAATCAAATAGAAGATTTACCAAAAGGAAACGATGGTGTCTCAAAGGTTT